GCCTCGGGCGGGCACTCGGGAGGTGGCCACAGTAGCCATGGGTGGTTCCTGATGGACCAATTGGAAGAAGGTGGCTTCCTGCTTAGCTTCCGCTAGCCCCACGAGGCTCAGCAAACTACAGCCTGTGGATGGGACCCAGGTCGGCTGTGACCGTCCTGGAGGGCGTGCATGACCTTCCTGGCTCACTTTCCCTTGATCCTCTCTTGCCCCTTTCAACCATCCCAGTGGCAAGAAACCCCGGTCAAATCAACCTGAAAGCATGACAGAGATCCTCCAAAGATAATGAGTTTCTTCCGGACTCAGCAGGATTGCAGCCTGGGAATAAGCTGCCACTGGACCCCACTGCGGGGAGGAGGGCGTGGGACACAAGAGTACTCAGGGAGACAAAGGAAAGCAGAGGTTCTTAAAGGGAAAATTAGGAGGATTACATAGATTGCTTTAAACAATAATTTTCAGTTTCACGAATTAATAAGAGTGACTTCAGTCCGAAGTAGAACAAGCAGTTGCTGGGCAGATGTCCTCACAGAGTGACCTTTGTTCAGGGTTGTGGTTCTTTGTGCAAGGTTGCAGTTGGTGGAATCTCTTGCGATAGTTCCTGTTCTCAGGCAAATTGTGGGTGAGGCCCCCCCCCTTCATAGTCTTCTAGATTCATTTTATTTATTTATTTATTTGTTTATTTATTTATTTTTTGAGACAAGAGTCTCCGTCTCCCAGGTTGGAGTGCAGTAGCACATCATAGCTCACTGCAGCCTTGAACTCATGGACTTGGCCTCAGCCTTCAGTCTCCTGAGTAGCTGGGATTACAGATACATACCATTTAGTTTGGTTTTGATATAAGTAACTCCATTTTGGTACTGATTACTTCTTTCTTTCCTTTTTTTTTTTTGAGTCGGAGTATCACTCTTGTCGCCCAGGCTGGATTGCAGTGGCATGCTCTCGGCCACTGCAGCCTCAACCTGCTGGGCTCAGGCAATCCTTCCGCCTCAGCCTTCCAAGGAGCTGGAACTACAGGCATGTGCTACCACACCCGGCTTATTTTTTTATTTGATTTAGAAACAAGGTCTCACCAAGTTGCCCAGGCTAGTCTTAAACCCCTGAGCTCAGGCAATCCTCTTGCCTACGCCTCCCAAAATGCTGGGATTACAGGCTTGAGCCACCACGCCCAGCCAGTACTGATGACTTTCATATCTCCCACCCCAAATTCCAGTTGCCCCAGGCCAAAGTCTCAGCTTCCACTTATAAGGCTCTTAAATCCTTGGTCCATACCCTGTCTGTGCTCTACTCCTTGCTTGTTTCCAGACTGGGGAACATATGGTTTAACCTTGAAATGTTCTTCTGCTCCCCAAATACCCTTTGCCCTCCTTACTCCTACTTATCCTTCCAGTCTCCATCTATCACTTCCTCCAGGTCACCTTCCCTGCTTCTCCTTCCAGAGCAGCCCACACTTCCCCTATCCTGGAGCTCCCTATTCCCCCAACCATGACTGAAAACCCTGCAGAGAGCAAGGTGTATGTCCATCCTACTTGTTTCCCAGACTGGTGTCTGGCCCAAACGCTAGGTGCTTAATTGGTATTTGTGGAACAAATCAAGAAAAGGAGAGCTCTGTGTAGTAAAATGTCTAGCCAGATGTTTATTATTTGGTTACATTATTTTCATTGCACGATTCCACATCTATTTATTTTCACTTTTATTTATTTATTTTTTTACAAAGATACAAGGAATTTCAGAAACATTAAAACAATCATTCAAACTGTTTCAGGCACGGTTTCATATGAAAAGCATAGATTGATTTCATTTTTTTTAAGAGATGAAGTTTCGCTCTGTCGCCCAGGCTGGAGTGCAGTAACGTGATTATAGCTCACTGCGGCCTCAAACTTCTAGGCTCAAGCGATCCTCCCACTTCAGCCTCCCAGAGTGCTGGGATTACAGACGTGAGCCACCACGTCCGGCCTGCAGATTGATTTCTGACTTCCTGTTTCTTTCTATGATACAATCTCAAGTTTCGTTCCAGGAAGCACAGTTACTTGGAGCTAAGATTGAGTACCCGCCAAAGCTCATCTCCAAGTGCTGTCCTCGTTCTCAGAAAGTTCCTGAGTCAACAGAAAGGGGACTTCCAGGGTATGGGGTAAGGAGATGAGTGCACACTTTGCCAACTGGCTGGGCCTGGCAAACGCTGGGCACGTTCCACTTCATCAGCTCAAGAACATAAACAAAAACAATTTTAAAAAATGAATGGTTTAAAAAAATATCTGATAGAAATTACCTACCCCTCTCCCTTGTTGTGAAATAATTTAAATAATTTATTCTAGATGTAAAAATAATAATAAAAAAAAAGTTTTTTCAAAGACACCTGTGTCTCGTTTTGAAGTGTGAGGTCTGGGTCCCTTGGGGGTGGGGAGAGCCTGCCGATGGATGGCGCTCTGCAGAGGCATGCTAGAAAGCTCTCCGGATGCAACACCACCTCCAGTGCTTGGCAGCCAGTGACCTCGAGCATGGTATGCGTTCACTTCTCTGAGTCTAGGTCTTCCCTTCTGAACACGGCGATCAGAATGCCTGCCTGACCCATGTTAGGGTATCCTACATCAATGAGTGAATGTGGGAGGGCTCTGTAAACCGTGACGTACTGGCCACACACGAGGTGGGAGAGGTAGCCCTGTCCAGTGGAGCTCTGCTTCCCTGATAATGTCTGGGATTTGGCCTTCTGCTCTAGAGCACACTAAGGCAAGCTTGACTGGCGCTTTAGATGGGAGTGAGCCCCAGTGACTGAGTAAATGGAGAGTAAGGCAAGGAATATGACATGGGCTGTGCACAGACATGCAAATAAGACAGACATGGACAGACAGAAATAAGCCACGGCTGGGGGAAGGGCTTGGGACAACACTTCTGGACTTTTTAGGACTTAAGAGATCTGGGTCTGAGTCTCAACTCCTGCCTGGCACTCACTATCCTCTTCGTCTTTACTGCTCATAGGTGCACACACACTAGTCTAGTGGGTCTCCATCCTCACTGTGCTGCAGGTCATCTGTGGAAATTGGAAGGGCACACAAGCCCTACTCTGGAGATTCAGGGGCAGTTGGTCCAAGGTGGGGCCTGGGCATCTGTATTTCCTGCACATTCCCAAGAGGATTCTAGTGTACACCTTGGGTTGAAACCTACCAGGCTAGGTGGCCTCCTTCCATCCCCCCATCCCTGCTCCAGAGTCACCTATGCAATGGAGAAAACGTATCATCCGCCCCTCCTCGGTAAAGAGGGATGAATTTCACTTCTAATCACTCCCAACCTCTTGGTGGGCCGAGAGCAGGGCACAGAACACAGACTCACGAAGGAGGGTGAAGAAAAACTTTTGGGCCACAACTTCAGGGCCACCTGGTCCTGCTTCCTTCCTTAGTATAGTCATACTTTCCCAGAAGCCCCCGCGGGTGGTGGTCACAGGCTCTACTGGAGTGCCTCCAGTCCTCGGGGCCCGCTACCTCCTGGGGGGCTCTTCTGTTAACCAGGGCTGATATCTGCCTATATCATCTTGTAGGAGGCAGATGATATACCTGAGGGCCTTGGTGGTGGCAGTCTGCAGTAGTGGGCACACCTCTGAAGTCTGCACCCCCACCTAAGGGAGTATCTATCCACGTCTGGCTGCTTGCAGTTGGTTTTGGAGAGGATGTTTTTGACCTCCTGTCTATGTTCTAGAATGGGGCTGAGCCCTTCAGGCCCTCTGCCAGTGTCTGTGAGTTTCTGTAGCAAACTCGGATCATCACTCCACAGGTGGTTTCCCTCAGGTCAAGGCCTCTGGTGGCTTGTTCTAGGGTTCTCCTTGTTCAGGTGGAGAAACTAAGACCAGAGAAGGAAGGGCTTGCAAAAGGTCACTGAGTAAGTCGCGGTACAGCTGGGGCCGGAGCCAACGGATTCCTGCTCTGTGGGCTAAGAACTGCACCTGACGCCAAACAGCAGAAAGGCAGACCCAGGAGACCAGGATCTCAGCCCAGCCCTGCCATGAAACAACTCTCACTTGCCTCTCTTTGGACCTCAGCTCCTCTCCCTGTAAAATGAGGGAGTTGGGCTAGATCACTGGTTTTCAAACCTCTGAAAGTTTTTTAGTAGCAGAATTATGTACTCCATAGCAGCCCGACATATAAAACAGATAGAAGAGGGGCTGTCTGGCTAGAACGGGGTAGGGGCGGGAGACTCCCCCCCTATTATATGGACCACAGTTTGACAATCACAGGCAGGCTGACCTCCTAGGGCCTTCCAGCTCTAACCCTGTATGACATTCTATCCCTTTGAGAAGGTACCACTCATCATGGACCATTAACAACAGAATTAAACAGAAGCCAGGTATCATCTAAAAATAAAGTTCAGAAACTGTAGTTGCAAGAAGGCAAATAGAAAAAACGGCACCACGTCCCACTGGAATCTCCTTCAGTGACTGGGAGTTTTGTTTTCTGCTAAAAAAATATAGAAATAGTGGTTGTTCTCGGGGGACTTGTGGTTTGGTGCTGGACCTCCCCACGGAGCCCAGTGGTGTCCCTGAGGGCGAGGAGGGCGGAGGTCTCCGCTCAGAACTGCTCTGAGCTCATCCGCAAGTTTTTGATCTCCAGTTCCAACTGTTTGGCCTGGACCTCTCGCTGGGTCACCAGCTCGCGAAGCCTTCGGATCTCTTCCTGTTGCCGGTAGAACATCTGCAGCAGCTGGGAAGGCAGAGATAGAAGGTGGGATTACCAGGGTGTCCTGGGACACGAGGGGGGCAGGACACTAGTAGAAAGGCTGAAACACTACCCCTCTTTGACTTAGAAAGGTGACGATCACACATTCATGTGGCTGAGGCCCAAGGGAGCTGTCACTGCATTTTTTTTTTTGAGTCAGGAATCTCACTGTCACCCAGGCTGGAGTGCAGTGGTGCGCTCATGGCCACTGCAGCCTTAACCTGCTGAGCTCAGGTGATCCTTTCACTTCAGCTTCTAAGTAGCTGGAACCACAGATGTGTGCCACCATGCCTGGCTGATTTTTAAATTTATTATAGAGACAAGGTCTCACCAAGTTGCTCAGGCTGGTTTCGAACACCTGGGCTCATGTAATCCCCTTGCCTCAGTCTCCCAGAGTACTGGGATTACAGGTGTGAGCCACTGCGCCTGGCTGCATACATCTTTTACAAAAACCTTGTTTACTTCTCCCAGTAAGTGAAATTCAAAAAGATTTGAATGTTTCAGACACATTTTTGCCTCTGCAGATCCCAGAGAGATAGGCTACTTGGCTCTGAAGGCTGTAGATTGGTGTCTTTGTCACCACTAAACTGTATGGCTTTGTGTTACCCTGAGCTTTAATTTCCTCTTCTGGAAACTGAGGCTCAGAAAATTCACTTCACCATTATCATAATTGTTGCCACTATGCACAATGACTATTAGATGTTGAGTGTACCCCTAAGAAACCTCCTTATCCGACCAGATGCTCATAACCCTACCCCCACTGGGGTGGCAGTGTTAGTATCCCCATGCTACCACTGTGGACACTGACACTTATAGACATTTAACCCCTGGGTCTGAGATGCTACAGTTAATACTCAGTAGAGCCAGGATCAGAATCCCTCTGTGGGACGCCAGCCCTTGTGTTTTCAGCCACTACATAATGACCTCCAGGGCTGTTGAGAGGATTCAGTCATGTGCTACATCAAAGTGCCTACCTAGGACTGGGCACATAGCAGGCACTTAACAAATGTGGAGCACGACAGCACAGAAACATCTAGAATGTCAGAACTGGAAGGGACTTTGATACACACTGAGCCAAACCCTTTGCATTTTATAGAAAGTTCCCTACCATCTGCATGTATGCCCATCATTATAGCATATAGGTGGTGCTTACTGCCTGTTTGTTGAATGAATTGACTGAGTTAAGTGACTATACCAAGCCACACAGCTGGTTATTCTTCTCACGCCTCATTTTCTCCTCTTCCTCCCTCCTTCTGAGCCTTGATCCCCCACCACCTTCCCAAGCCCAGCTGCCCCCTGTGAAGGTCCGCCCCACCCTCCTTCACACCTCATTCTCTGTCTTTGGTGGGGGGCATTCGAAAATGTCAAAGCCGTTTGTGAGCCAGGACTTCTTCTCCTCCAGCCTGTGTTCTGCTGCCCACCTTGGCGTCTTCTCTCCCAGCAGGAAGGAAGGTCTCCAGCCATCTTCTGCAGCTGGCTTCTCTGTCTGGTCCAAGGGCCGGGGTGAGGCTGGGGCCACAGAGTTGAAGACGGATCTCTCTGGAGGCAGTGGCCGGGGGCTCAGCAGCTCGGAGCCAGGCCTAAGGGATACCAGGATTGGCCCTGGGAGGAAAGCAAAGAGCTGTGTGTGGACAGAGCAGGTGGGCATGGGCTGACACAGGCAGGCACGCAGATATATGCAACAGGTGTAAGAGATACAGGCACATGCAGACAGGCACAAACCCTCAGAGTGGGGCAATTGGGTACAAAGACCCCTATGTGCAACCCTTCGAGTAGAGCTTGGTTTTTAGAATGGCACAGTGCATGCCCTGGAGCTGCCACCAGACACTCTGAGCTCAAGTGAAACCTTGGCCTGGCTTTGTAAGGACAGTCCCACCCACATACCAAGCTCACCAGTTCTCCCAACACCCCTGGGAAGCAGGGGAGAACAGCATCATGGATACGGATGAGGAACCTGAGGCCTAGGAGGAGGGAGACCTATCTAAGAGTTATTCAAAACTGGGACTTGGCACGAGTCTCCTGCCTTCCAGGAAGAGGCTCTTCTAGTCCACCAGGAGCCCCCCTCAGCCACTGGGGGCGGGGGGAGGTAAAGGGAGTGTGTGTGGGTGAAGGGGTAGGGAGTGGCTGGGGTGGGGGCAGGAGCACACATTGCCCTCCTTCCGCTGGGCTGGCCCTCCCATGAGCTGGAGAGGCATGGTTGGCGCGGTTCAGTCCAGGCAGAGTGGGCAGGAGGGCCTGGTTAGGGTTGCTGCCTTCAGGGTCTCTTGGGTCAAAGAATAATTGCAAGGTAGGGGCAGGAAATGGGCAAGGGGAGTCTGGCTGAGATGCTCTGGGGACCCTGTAGGGTCCCACAATGTAAAGACGCTTTTCATGGGGCAAAGTCTCTTGAGTTGGAGGGAGTTTTCTGAGCCACTTGGGTCAGGCTCTCTGCCTTTCTGGACCTGATGTGACCATCCTAACCACTGGGCATGACTGTCAAGGTTATGGGACAATAAAAATACAGGCCAAACCCTCTCTTCATTGCTTGAGCCTTCAGGCACTCTCTGTTCCTGCAATATTTGTCTGAATCCTTTCTCCACCTTCCTCACCTCTGTTCATTCCACCGAGCCACTCCTGCGCAGTCAGGGATGGCTGGGCCCCTGCAGTTGGGGGGTAGATGTCCTCTTGGTAGGATTCCGACTGCAGGAGAAGTCCAGACAGTGAGTGGGGTGGTGGACAGAATGCCCAGACTAGAGGGTCCTTAGAGCTGGGAGTCCAGGCTCCTCCCAACCCCTGCTGAACTGAGGAAACTGAAGCTCAGAGAGCAAAGGGACTTGCTCAAGGTTACACAGCAGCTCAAGAGCAGAGATGGGCTGAGACCCAGGACTCCTGACACCCAGCAACATCACACTGGCCGTAAGAAAGGCCTGTGGCTGTCCCAGGGGTGTGGGCTCTAGGCTCTGGTACCCTGACACCCCTTCTCCAGGGCGAGTTCCCTGCTTCCCACCCAGACGGTCCCTACCACCCTTACCCGGCGGGGCACAATCATGGATACAGGCTCGATGAGGCTTTTGGTTGTGATCAGCCTGTAGAAGCGGAAGATCTCACAGGAGGACACGTCGAGACCTCTCTTTGGCATGACACCTGCAGGCAGACAGCAGAAGCCAAGAGGTTCTGACTAGGCTGGGGCCATGGGGACCCAGTGTGATGGCTACAGTCAGGATGCACACACCTAGACGTGAACAGAGGCTGCCCTCCTGCCATTGTTCCCTCAACAAACAGCTCATGAACAGATACCTGCACTGGGCTCTGGGCTGGAGATATGGAGTGAAGGTAGCTGAACTCTGTTTCCACCTCCAAGGATTTCAATGACTTGAGCTGGACATTTTGTTTTTGTTTTTTTGAGTTGGAGTCTCACTCTGTTGTCCAGGCTGGAGTGCAGTGGCATGCTCATGGCCACTGCATCATCAACCTGCTGGGCTCAGGCGATCTTTTTGCCTCAGCCTTTCAAGTAGCCGGAACCACAGGTGCATACCAACATGCCTGGCTAATTTTTTTCAAAATATTATTGTAGTAGAGACGAGGTCTCGTCAAGTTGCTCAGGCAACTTGGTCTTGAACCCTTGGGCTCAGGCAATCCTCTTGCCTCGGCCTCCCAAAGTGCTGGGATTATAGGCATGAGTCTCCCATCTCCATCCCCATAGCTCCTGTGACCCAAATGTTCTTTGTTGTCCAGGCTGGAGAACAGTAGTGCGATCACAGCTCACTGCAGCCTCGATCTCCTAGGCTCAAGCGATCCTCCTGCCTAAGCCTCCTGAGTAGCTGGGACTACAGGTTATTTTTCTCCAGCTCTTTACTTTTAACTGTGTCTTTATGTCTAAAGTGGGTTTCTTGTAGATAACATATAGTTGGTTTTTTTCCCCAAACACACTTAAAAAGGAGGTGGGGAATGCTCCTTGGAGGCTCTTTGAGGTCAACTCCTTCCACCCCCTGCTCTTGCAACTGCTTAACCTTGACCTAGAACACTTCTTCCCCCAGTGATGTGTGACTGCTATCTCTTGCAGGTCCCGCAATGTTGCCTCCTCTGGGAAGTCTTCCCTGACTTCCTTCTCTGTGCTGCTGCACACCTCAAGCACAGCCCCCATCGAGTCAGAGTGTCGCCATGCCGTTTCTCTAGGTCCAGCATTGAGGTCCTGGCCCAGGTGGCCTCAGTGTCCCTCACTCACCGATCCCCTTCTGTGGGTTATGGGAGCGGTACTCAGTCAGGTAGCTCAGGTGAGGCTTGTCGGCGCTCACCTCGTAGTAGCGGATGTTGCCATCTCCCTGGAGAGGAGGAGGTGTGGTCAGAGCTGGAGCTCATCAGCTCTACTGCCGCCCCCACTGCCATGCAGTAAAACCCCGGTGCTCATGGGATGAGCAAACCCTTTGCACACAAGGGAATGCCAGGGAGCTCGGGGCCCTGACACTGAGGTGGGAAAAAGGGGTCCTCATTTTAATACTCAGTTCTTTAGCCATGACCCGAAGACCACCTTCGTTCCTCCATGGCAGAAGCTCCTAGAAGACAGGCCCAGAAACCACTCTCACCAGAACTGCACACAAAGGTTAGGAAAGGCATGTCCTCAGAAACCATCCCATCCAGAGGGTCTCACCCTGGGGGCCATTTCTGGTTGTCATGATGATTTGGGTGAAGGGTGCAGAGATGCTCCTGGCACTGGTGCTAGGGGCCAGGGATACTAAACACGGTACAGTCCTACCCAGTTCTGTCCCCAATTCAACGAGGTCCCTGCTGAGAAACCCCAACCTCCCCCTCATCTGGCCCCAGGTTGGGGAGGGATGAGCTCAGGTGTGCAGCCACAGTCCTGGGGAGCCGGAGGGGCTGGCAGGTGCCCTCCCACAGGGGAAGAGTGGCCAGTGACTCCTGTCCAGCCCTGCCCTGGACTCCAGTGGGGCGAGGCTAGGGACATTTCCACCTCCTGTCACGGGTCCTGGTGGCCACCTCCCTCCGCGCCAGACTGACCTTCCCCACCATGTAGAGCATGTTGGTGTCCGCATCGTAGAAGGGGAACAGCACACCCGAGGAGCCATCCAAGTCTTCCTCCGTGAGAGGCACAGAGAGGTCGTCCTACAAGGGAAGGGGAGGCAGAAGGCCCTGGGGTCATTTCTGGGGGCTCAGGGTGCTCTGAGACAAGAATTCCTGTCATGGCACCTTGGGCCATGCCTAAGAGGGCAAGTCTGATCTTGTTCAAATGTTTTAGGGGAAAAAAATATCCCTGGGCCTTGGGGTCCACTGTGTGGCCTACTCTGATGGAGATGATACCTCAAAGGCACTAAGATGCCACCACCACCTGTTTTGTGAGTGTTCTGCTCTTAGCAAATCACTTCCGCCGGGCTCGGTGGCTCAGCCTGTAATCCCACGCTTTGAGAGGCTGAGGTGAGTGGATTGCCTGAGCCTGCGGGTTTGAGACCCACCTGGGCAACTTG